ATCAGACATACAACTAGCACTGTCTGAGCTAACAATTCCAGCTTCTCAAAATATTAGTTTTTATTTTGGGTAACTGGAATTAAAGTTTGAATGACCAAATCAAGTACTGTGTGGTTTTGGTGGTTTAGTAATATTTTTAGTGTGACTTTCAGAAATGTGCACACCTTTCTTAAGGACATTGTCTGCCCAAGAAAGCTCAAAGCTCCATTAGGAAAGCATTACAAAGCCAATGCAGCTGATATAACTTCATTTTTCTGACCTGAGTTCTGTCCACATGAGAAGCCTTGGCTGCCCACCCCACCTGTGTGGTTTATAAAAGCTTTGGCACAAACCTGAGTCGTGTCACTGTTGTAGAGAGTTACAGAAAGGGACTCAAAATTGAAGTCAAATTTAAGCAATGTATAACATTCCATAGAAGACTGAACTGCAGAAACACTTTTTTGTCCAGAATCAACAAGGGCACCTGTCAGTGAAAAGGAAACATTTTTACATTTCTTTTGAACACTGGGCTTGCTTTTGGTTTTGGGGCTTTTTTGTTGTCGGTTGCCTTTTTCCTTTTGGTTGGTTGGTTTCATATTTGGGGTTTCCAAAAGTAAGATCAGAAAATCACAAAAAGAAGGAAAGCTTTAAATCCAGAGGAGTACTCAAAATAATTCACACTTTTAATTTTGTTCTATCCAATGCATACTAAAATCATCTAGAACAGAGTGGTTTAGAACTTTAAAATAAGCTGCCATTGGTTTACTGAAGTTCTTTGCTCACTTTAAAGAAGAGCACAAAGTACCAAGTCTTCTCAAGGAGTCTGCACTACTCCTTCCAGTTACTGTTCACAGCAGAGTAATTCAACTATTGGTTAAACAGCATTTTTTTTTTTACATTGAGAATGTTAAGTTTTGGCAAAATGTTAACAATATTTCATCCAGAGACATGCACACTATTTGAATACTAATATCTTCCACAATTGTTATAATTGTGCATTAACATTCTGGGGTAGATTATTTGTCTTTTTTCTTTTTTAAGCACATGCAGTCAGAAGAGTGACTGATATCAACTGAAAAATAGTATCACATGAGAAATGAATCACAAAAAAAAAAACCCACAAAAACTTCTGACCATCAGGAGTTCACACTCCATGTAAGTGCATGCATTTATAATTTTTCATGTGTACAATATATTTGTACCAGCTAAAACAATTTGTTGTGCTTCAAAAAAAGTGGTATTTGAATTTGGAAACAGCCCTCTGCCTACACATATTCAGCATTTGAATTGAACATACCCTCAGAGCCACCAGATTCATGTGGAGCTTTCCCTTTTTTAGGTATCTGAGTATCCTCAATATTCTCTTGCAGAGTATTTGGCTGGGAAGAAGCCCCTCCAAGGTTTTCAAGTAAAATTTTCATTATAACAGTTAGATCATCTTCACTGAGTGCAATCTGTAAAGTGATAAAACCACAAGCTCATTTTTAGTGACAGCATTTCTTCCAACACAGTACGCAAGCATTGAGGAGAAACAATGAGCTGCTTCCAGCAGAAAAACTGGATCATCAAAATTATCCTGTCCTAAACAATGTAAAGGATTTTCCCATTTTTCCTATATTAGTTGTTATTTGTAATAAACAGGAGTTACAACAAGAAATAACAGTCCATATGATAAACACTTTCTAGAATTGTAAGGGAACTTTGCCTATTAAAAACATGGGTAATTGATAAACATAAGCACTTGTCAACAATTCAGTCATTCAAAAACATGAGCAGAAAACATTAAAGCCAGGATTTGCATTGTATATAATAAAGCAACTGTGATTCAGTAGGCCTTCAAAGACTTAATGAATATGTACCCAATCATAATATTACAAAATCATAAAAAAGCAAGCAGTACTAAGTGACAAGATTAGCCTATAGTACACAGTGTAAGAATTTTTTTCCTACATTTGGTTAATTCTGCTGGTACTCCTTCAAATCCTTTATTTCTCTGTGCTTCACCAGTGTGACATTTGGCACAGCACAGCTATAGGAATGAACAAGTAAAAGTGCTCAGGAGCAAGGAAAAGGTGCCCCAGTTAGATTTACCACCTACCCCATGCAGCTACACCAAAACTAATCATTATACAGTATCAAAATTCTAACAAATTAATAAACTGGACAGTCAAACTGGAAGTCTTTCAACATACTGTAAAGGACACAAACTGAAAAGAACTTCCAAGCTCCTTAACTAAGCTGAGGATTATTCTGAGAATCCGTGTGACTTTTGATATTGCTCTTAGTAGTCATGATATTACCTGCATTGGTTTTAGGTCTCCTTTGATACAAATTGTTGGGCTCTTATGATACCATGCTGCTGCTAAATTTCTCTGGACCAGTAAAGTCAAACTCACAGGACGCAGAATTTCAGAATCTGGCTGTGAATCTGCAGATATAATGCACCTAAAAAAAGATAGAGAAAGTAACAGAGGAAATATGTTGACTACTTGCAGAATACCAAATAATATCACATTAATCTAGAAAAATTACAGGAATAATTATTTTAAGAATAAGCTCATATGCATTACACCCATGCATGCACTCCAGATGAACTCAAGTTACTGTGCTATCATTCCCTTCTTTCCAAGATATTGTAGACCTATGTCTCTATCTAAAAGCATTACTAAACTTAGCTTGGCAAGGTTTTTTGCATTGTTTTAGTATGTTCTCATTGCCTACCATGTTTACTAAGAGAAAAATGCTGCATACAGAACATGGACACACTTTTCTTTACAAAGACACTTCAACTTAGGAAAAAGCTCCATGTTTACCTTGATAATTTCAAGTGAGTCAGCTGCACATCCATGTTGTCAATGACTGGAGGAAGAGAAGATTCATCTGAAGACACCAGCTTGAATTCATTCTGAACTCTGATTAAGCCAAGATCAGCTATCAAAGCATTACATGAAGCTGAAGATTCAGGGACAACTATGACTGGAGCTTTCAAGTTGACATCCATTAGAAGGCGGAAGCTCTTTTTAGCAAAGTCCTTCATGCTGGAAGCAGCCATTTCTGCTGCCTGGACAGTGACTGCAGTCAGGGCTTCTTGTGCTGCTTGGAAATTGTTTAGGAAG